TCTGCCTAAACTATTTAGATTTATCTAAACATTGTAAATAGTAATAAAACTTGAATCTGGACATTAGCAAGTACTTAAGTTACAGGTTCAAGACCCTAAAATGAACTTACACTTCATTAAGAATATATTAAGAATATATTAAAATCCACATATTCAATAAAAAGAAATATACAGTATATGTATAGTTATAAATGTGTAGTGTAACCTTTCTCTCCCTTCCTCACATGCTTGCTTCATTAATTTTTTCCTATTAATTTTTTATTTATTCATGTTTCTCTCCTCAGATTTCACCTCAGGCTACTGCAGCAAAGATTAAAGAGTTAAAAGAAGAGCTTGCTCGGTTCAAGGCAGAATTTCCCCACCCACCAACTGAACGAGGTCGGCCGTCTTCGTCCAAGAGGCTTGGCAGGCGCCCTTCTCAAGCACGGAGCATTAGCGTTGATCGAGGTTACCTTACCAAGGCAGACTCTGAAACAATGAGCAATCAGGGCAACACATCCACCGACGGGCCTCATGTCCGCCTGGTTGAGATCAGCATGGATGATTCAAATTCAATGAAGTCATCAAGCTATCAGTATTCTTTTGAGAAGTCTGTTGTTAGAGGTGGAGTATGTGAGTCAAGTGATAGTATACACTGCTCTCATACAAACGGGGATGTCCACAGTACCAAATCATTTATCCAGTCAAGAATTGAACGACTTTACGGACCAAGTGCTCTTGCAGCTGGTTTCCGTAGTCGAAGGTCTTTGTTGGAATTAGAAAAAGAACAAAAAGATAGACAATCTGGTGGTGGACTTAAGAATATGGTGTTAACTTCCCATTCAGAGAATAACTTTGAACCAGAGGATAAAGCACCAGATGGTTTTCCTAGTGTATTTAGACATTTACGGCCAGAGTTTAGAACTCAGTTGCCAGTGAAGCGAAATAGTAGGCTGAGACTGGATACTTCCTTAGAAATACCAAGTATAAATACATCACTAGAGATTGAATCCCTTAGTAAGAGACCCGGAAGAGTGATTCCCATCACTATAGAAGGCGAAGAACCAATTCCACCGGTCCCGTTACCACAGACGGATACTTTAACAAGAAAGGATGCTAGTCACACCTCTAATAAAGACATAAAGAAAGTGGAGCCGAAGATTTTGGAGAATGGCAATGCAGAAAAAACAAAGCCTCAGTTGAGCAATGGCCCTTGTGTGAATGGTAGTGCAGTTAAAGAAACCGATAGTGTTAAGGAAGACGACTTAGTAAAAAGAACTAACAAAGTGAATGGTGTTGCGGAACCGTGTGAAGTGATTCAAACTTCAAGCAGTCCTGCTAAATTGGAAAAAGATGGCCATTACTTCTTGAAGGTAAGATAATCCTGTGAATTAAAAATGGGGAGGATTTAAAAGTATTGTGGATTAAAGCTATAAGAATTCTCTCCTTCGAATTTTGCATAGAAAATGGTTGGCTTAGTCATGAAATGCTTAGTTAGTAAAATTTCAGATTGATACAACCCTTCTTTGTTTTGTTGTGTAGCTTTGCAAATAAAAGAATATATATAAAAGTTTATTATATTCTATATATCTATAGTCCATATATATGTATGTATGTATATGCATGTATTTGTATATATATGTATATGTATATGTATATACACACATGCATACACACATATGCGCATATGTATTGGTGTATATATGTATGTGTATGTATATGTATATATATTTACATATGTGTGTGTATTTATACATACATAAATTTATATATGTGTGTATTATATATATGTATATATATATATGTATTATATATATGTATATATATTATACATATGTACATTTATGTATATATATATTTATGTATATGCATATATATGAATGAATAGGTATATGTGTATACATATATATATACATACATAAATATAAACATAAATATGTATTTACATATATATGTATACATATATACTTATATATACACACAAACATGTACATATACATTTATATATGTATATGTATATGTATATATATGTAGATGTGAATTTGTGTATATATATACATGTGTGTGTGTGTGTGTGTGTGTGTGTGTGTGTGTGTGTGTGTGTGTGTGTGTGTGTGTGTGTGTGATGTATATGTATATGTATATGTATATGTATATGTATATGTATATGTATATATGCATATATATGTTTCTATATGTATATGTATATATATATGCATATATATGTTTCTATATGTATATGTATATATATTCATATATTTATGTATATATGTATATGCATATATGTGTATATGTATATATACATATAAATATACATATTCATATATACATATAAATTATAACATACATTTATACATTTATATATATTTATATGTATATTTGCATGAATATGTATTTGTATGTAAATGTATGTGTATATGTATATGTATAAGTATATATGTGTATATATGTATATAATATATGTATAGTATATCTATATTTATGTTTGTATCTGCATATATGTGTGTGTGTGTTTTTGTGTGTGTGTGTGTTTTGTGTATGTGTGTGAGAAATATAATGTATTTAATTACACATCATAGATGAATAACAGTATTAAACAATGCAAAATCTAACAAATATATGGATTAACAAAAATTTAGATTAATTACTAAGTTATAAAGTTGTATGAAAACCAGCTCTGTTTATTTTGTTTGCAGATTTGTGGTTGAGAATTATTTTAAAATCCATCATACCTAATATAGCTTATATATAAATTTCTCAATGTGAAGAATTATCCAAAAGAAAGCACATCCACTGTTAAGGTAAATTATAATGTGCAAATGATAAAAATATCCCAAGAAATGTATTCAAGTGAAATATGTTTAGGATGAGAATATGATATATTGAAGAAGAATGTTATAGTTTGGAACAAATTGAGAATAACTGGAGATGTGCTGGATAAAGATAAAGATTTGATGAATGATATATACATGTGCTTGTGTGTGGATGTAGGCATGAGTGTAGGTGTGTTTTTTCCTATTTTCTTCATATTTGATTACTCAGAAGCATAGTGGAATCATGATTTTAGCATTAAAACCAATATGTGTTCCCAGATTGATGCCGTGTCCACAGTGCTTTTATTTTACTTTATTTAATTTTTGCTCATAGAAGGCTCCGTAAGAGTTTAGTCACCAATTACCAATTAATTACCAGTCCTACTTGATTTCATCTCTTGAAAAATTGTATACTCTTTGTATTGTTATTGATATCATCATAATAATTGTATTGTCAGTAATGATGATAATAACAGTAACTAGACTATATTAATATAAAAAAAAAATCAAGGAATAGGTAAATCAGATGAGGTCATGTAGGTCTGTTGATTAAGTGTTTATGGAGCCCTCCATCTATCTGTTATCAAAATTCACATAACCATGCAATATTGCAATTAACTTGGTGTCAATGGGCTAAGATTTGCAATGGTTCCACCAGTGTGAATCAGCAACCTCACTTTTTGACAATAAATTGGTGTTTTATGAGCTTTAATATTGATATTAATTTTTCAGGTAGTAGAAGAAGTTGTCAACAGTATTGAAGCTGAAGTTCTAACTACTGAGCAAGAGTTAGAACTGCATGGGTCGGAGATGACAGAAGAGATTCGTGGAAAGGTGCTAGCGGCTATTGGTAAAGCTCGACTCTTAGTCTCTCAGAAAATTCAGCAGTTCAGAGGACTGTGTCACAAGAATATTGTAAGTTATAGTAAACCATCATTAAGTTTTAGCATTCTTATATATGATCAGTAAATATTTTGGCATTTGATTATTTTTTTTTAGTAATGTGTAATTGTAATCCCCCATTCCCACTTCTTTCACCCTCCCCCCCTCACTCTCTCATCCTTCCTCACCCCTTCCTCCTCTTCTGTTTAGTTTGTAAATGTGTTTTTTTCTCTCTATATATAGGCTGGTTCAGAAGGAGAAGAATTTCCAACTACCAGTGAAGACTTGGCAGGCTTCTGGGATATGGTGTCAATTCAGGTTGATGATATCAAGAGCTCCCTTCAAGAGATCGCAAAGTTGAAGGCTAATGGGTGGAAGGAGGTAAGTTCTCACCTTGTTAAAGATTTGCATATTTTATTGGGTGTGGCAGGGTTCTTAGTTTCCAGTATTTAGGTAAATATACATCATCATTTGGTTAAAAATACATCAGCACTTCAGCCCCCTTGCTCTTAAATTTTATAAAATTTACAGCTTTCCCTTTCCCAAGACAAAGCTATGTTCTTACTTTCTCTCATATCCTATCCTGCATTACCTCAGAAGAGGTGGTGAGATGTATTGAAAATAGAGGGAAATGTACATGCTTCTCATATCTCATATGTTTCCTAATAGGGCATTGGAACCATTTCATTCAGCCTAACTGAATGTATGTTGAAATTGTTGCATAAATTATTTGTCAGTCGTGGCTTGCACTCACATGCAAATTTCAAGGAAAAAACAGTGTGATTGCAATTCCAATCCCAATGCCAGCTGGAGCATCACACACCAAGCTCAGTACAATTGCTCATTGAGTGTCATGCACTGTCAGATACCCAAGGGAAAAATAAGTACAGGAGGCTAAAAAGTTACCATAGTTAGAGCAGACTCAGCATTCTTTCCTGGAAAGACATAGTCATCCCAGTCATCATCATCCCCACCCATCATCGTCAGTCATCATGAATATCAGTCTATCATCTACATAATTAGTAGCAATGATAATACTAAGAATATAAACTTTACACCAAAATTTAAGGAATGCAGTAAATAGGTAGGCAGGCCTTGTAATTATCTCCCTGGTGACTAAGTAGTTCTTGATCCATCAGTGTATAAAAAGCACAGTGGAGAGTGCATGTATATGTGTACTCTCAGCGTCATGTCAATATTGAGTTACTGAGTTATATTAGTGTCAATCTGATTTTGATCCATGAATCCTACATTATGCTCCCTCCTGCCTCCATCCCGTTCATTTCATAGTTTCAGATACATTGTTATAATCCTCAGGATTTCTCGCATTATTTTTGGCTTCGCGTGCATTTTGCACACATGGTCATGTTGTACCCCTTGATAATGCTGCTGAGAACATTTCATGGTGACTAGTTTTCTTTTTGGAAATGCAGTTACACATAGGTGGCTCCACAAGTGCTCAGCCTACAAGGAATTAATTAGTAGACTATGCAACTTCACTTCATTTCCCATTTCTATCATTTTTTTTCTATGCTATTAATAGCAATATTATTATTATTGACATGATTATTACAGTGTTATTAACAATACAAGGATGATCTAGCATAAATAAAGATAGTTAATTAAATCAAGGAAAGTGGTAAACAGGAGAGATAGGTAGAACTAATGACTGATTCCTTGATGACTATGTACTTTCGTGGCCATCTATGTAAAAACACGATTAATAAATTAAACTCACAGTGGGCATGATATACATACATACCATCCCCTATGGCAGTAGGTTAAGTTAAGGTTTGAGATAAATTTGATTTATTAATGCTGTGTTTTTTATATATTGATAGTCTTAACTTCTCATGTATATATTGTTTTTTTTATTACAGCTGTCATGGGCAGACACTGTGGATGGGTCTGGTAAGAATGTTATGACAGGCCAGGCACAAAAGAAGCCTGCTCCAAGACCAGCAAGAGCAGCCAAGTCTACCAAAAGTGGTGCGAAAACAGAAGAAGGAAAAGCCAGAGATGAAGCAAGGAAGAAGATGATGGAGGAGAGAAGACGAGCCATGAAGGAAGCCATGAAAGCTAAAAAGGCAGAGGCAGAAGCAAAGAAAGCAAGTGATGGCGATACTGTGGAGATATTCATCCCAGAAGACAAGTAGAGGAAGGGTGTTGTGGGGCCCCCAGTGTTGAATCTTGTTAGCAAGGGATATTTATATATATATATAAAGAATTTTTGAAAATTAATTCCATCGCAGTTGATGAAATGGAATGGTGATATTAAAGACATGATATAACTTCTGCTTCAATGGCTTTAAAACTAACTGACAAATCTGGCAAGATAATGTAACGGAAGATGAGACTGTGTACTAATTAGGTGATGGGTCCAGGAGGAACATGGACAAATCTATCTTTATTATAAAGATCAAGCTTGAAATAGTTCTTTTGATGATTGTGATGCATTGGGCTATTAAAATGTAGTAGGTGTATAGCACTGAAATTGTTATGAATAGAAATTTGCTAATGCAAAAAGAATAACCCCAAAACTGCTGATAACCTTAGCCGTTGATATAGCAAATTTTTCTTTTCCTTTTTTTATAAAATTTATATATAACTTCATAAGTAGATAAGGTACAGTTTTGTTATAGTACTTGATTTTTACACAAATGCTGGTTGGCTGAGTGTACCTGAATTTGTTTTTAGTTTGAGGGATTATACATAGGGAACCTGAATTTTTTATATGTTTAATTATGTACTATATATAGGACAAGTAGTACCCCAGTTTTAAAAACTTGTCTCCATGGATATACAGGAGGGGTTCAGATGTAAAGTATCAGGATGTTACCTAGTTTTTAAGAAAACATTTATCTTTTTGTGCAACTGGACTGTTATTTGATTATACTAGCTGCTGAGTATGCATAGAACTGCAATGGAAACCAAAATATTTTTAAATTCTAGCAGATATAGACATTGCATGCCTTTTCAACAAGTAATCATCATTAAAGTAAGTTCCATTCTATACATAGTTAAGAGTTTTCCAGCTTTTATACATGAGTATGGCTCACAGGTTACTAGGTGTTACATTTAGGTTATTTGGATTTGCATCTGCTTATTGGCTGAAATTCTTCAAGAGCGGCATCCAAGCTCAGAAGTTGAAGACGTAGAAAGCTGCAAAAAAAAAAAAAAAGTACTAGATATGTCCAAATTCATCATTGTAATCTTAATCTGGACCTTATCATTCAAGTCATTTTGCGTATTTTTTTCTGTTTTCTCTTCATTTGTCACCACCGTTAGTTTTTGTCTTTTGTTTGCATTAGTACTTATACAAATAATTCTTGTCAGGATTCTTGTATTTCCATACCCACAACAGTGTACATGCATTATGTTGAGACATTGTTTCTGGTTATCACTGCTTAGAATGATAGGCATTTACAATTACCTCTTAGGTATCGCTGCTAGCACGATCTTCTCAATTCTTTCAGTTAGTGCACTTCAGTTTTTTTTATTTTTTTTATTTTTTTTATTTTTTTTTTATTCCTCGCAACTCTTGATCTGCAAGGACTTTTGTAAATGCCATTCACACATCTTGCTCTTTGATTCATCACCTTGTCCTCTGTATTGTCCAAGGTTAAGTGATAGTTCATCGTTCATATCCCCTCTGTACACTGCTTCAATTGGCAACAACTTGTATATGTTTGCAATGCACCTCTTTAGTTTGGTTGCACAATCGATCTGTTAATGTACCATCACTGATATTGATTGTGGTTATTATGTATGGCATTTTGGCTATGTTGAAGTCACAAGTCATTTTTATAATGTTCTCTAACGTTGCCAGCCCTCATTTTCTATAATCAACTTTAAAGTAGTTATGGTAGTTGTAGTTTTTTTATTTATTCATTCATGTATTATTATAGTGTATATTTGTTTCAACGGATCACTTCATTGTAATTTTTTATAAGGTGGTTTAAAGATTGTGTTTAGTATTATTTAGCGCTATTTTTTTTATAGACTTGATTTACAGTATGGTCATAAGATTAACGTGGAGAGTTGAGGAAAAAAAAGAAGATATTGCAAGAAATCTGTCAAAAGTATTCATTGTCTGAGCAACAAACCAAGTATGCCATTTGACCAAAACAAAATGCAATCTATTACTTTTTGTGGTGTCAGTTAATGCTAAAATAATATTGACACGGAAGATATTGACAAACTTCACTGCAGAACCTCTCTGGCTGATTATGAAACTGAAAATATTGCCATTTGCATTTATGATGCGAGTTTCTTGGAAAGTTACAGGTAAGGATATTTTCCTTTTCAGCCAGCACTTTAATTTGTGTAACTGCACCCTGTTGGTTAGGTGGGCAATATGTCAGTAGTTTTATATTTAGGTATGTCCTTTAGGTATTCAGCACAAATGTTTTAAATCAGGATTTTAAAATGTACTTCTTATTGTGTTATTTTGAAGTTGCTCTTTTTATTGTTATTATAATGTGATTATTATTACCATTCTTACATTATCTTTATTATCATTATGATGATGTTAGTGATTTAAGTATGAATATTATTATTATTATTATTATTATTATTCAAAATTTTATTGGTCTCATCATTTATCTTATCATCAGCACCCATCATATCATCCATTATTGTTACTGTTGTCATCATCACTACAGCTACTATTAATATTACTTGTAGTATTACTGATATAGCTGGTATTTCTAGTAATACACTTTATTCTATTGTAAGTGTCACAATCATCATCATTCCAATAATCAAGGTAAAGATGATTATTGTTATATTGATAATCATGAGCATTAAAGTGAGGGTAATAAGAATATATCATAATAATAATGATGGTAATAGCAAAAGTAATAATAATCATTATCATAAAAAATATTAATAAGGAGCATAAGAAATAATAATGATAATAATGAGCAGTGATTAGTCTTGCTATTGGTACTTTCCCCGTTTTTTATATTGCCCAGTTTCAGGGGTACTTTATGGTATGTGATGTCTTCTCTGCCAAAAGCATCTTGTATTATCATTATAAATATTCATACATGGTTTTCTACGTAAAAGGGAAAAAAAAATATTAATTTAGTTTTAGAAGCCACACTATAAGATGTGTGTTTAGTAGTTATTATCTGTCATATTATTTCATTGTTGTTAACGGTAAATTTTGAGATGGGTATTTTTATGATGTCAAAAATGTGCCTTGTATCATCTTCCTAAGAAAATTTGAGTCAGTCAATGTTTATTTCCAATTAGCATTAACATTTTTCATTTTGTTCAGCCTTTAGGTAAACGACTTTATTAATATGATTTAACTTCATACTATTAATTAGGCAGCTGTTGATATTTATCTAAACTTTTATACAGAATCTTAACAATTTATTAATCTAATGGAAGGTATGTTGAGCCTGACAGACTGGCCAAAGGAATGTCAGAAAATAAATCTATTATCCAGAGTTTGTCTTTATTATTTAATACCTTTGTCAATTTCAGAATATATTAAATGAACAGTTCTTTCCGAGGAAAGGAATTTGTTGATATTGTGTGGTATTTTTTTTATTATGAATATGTTCTATACTTTTTTCATATATATAATGTTCTTGCCATTCATGGTATATTTTGGGTTATAGGTATTTTGTGTTTATTGCTTTCATTTAGCGTATAATTTCAGTTGTTTTGTAACTTGGTTATTTCAGTCATTTTGATCTCATTTGTGCTTCCACACAAGTTAACATATATTTAGTGACAGTGATTTAATGAATAGAGAAATAGAGCAATTTAACTGAAACCAGTCTTTAGGCCTCACAGCAAATACCTTGGTTTCCATAGAGCACCAAAGGAAATCTATTTTGAAGGTATTTAATAGACACAAACTGTGCTATCTATATCTATTCTCCATAGCAGTTTTCTGGAACCCCATGTATAACATCTGGCAATAATATTCTGTACCTTTCTGACTAGCAAGAACATGACACTCCCGAGATTTTTACTGGCTCCGGTAACAGGCAGGGGTCGTACAAATATATATACTTATACAAAGCTTGGTAACGGTTCTAATAGGATTGATGCTAAGGTTATTGCAGGCCGGAATGCGAACTTTAGGCCTAATCCATATGATGATGGAACTCTATTCACGCATGTACATTCCAGTCTCGGAACACGAAGGGATTAACTGTTGCTGTGTACAATTTATTAAATGTAGGATGGCCGACCTACATGATTTCACTTCACATAGTTATCAAATAATTTTAAGTCCTAAATTACATTATTGTTTGCAATATAAACATGTCATTTTGGAGAGGTTGCAATCAACCTAAAATGCTGATGTCATCAGTGCTTGTACCTAATGTCATGACCCCACCCCCCAATCTCTAGTTCTTTGTTGTGTGTGTGGGGGTGGGGGGGCAGAGACTGAGGCCCAATATATGGGATCACCCCAACTTTGGTCCTCACTCCTCGCCTCAACTAATTTTGCATGGTCTTTTCTTTTCCTTTTCATCTTTATCCCCTTCTGTCCTTTTACCCTAATTGTTGCCTCATTTTTACCCTTTTTGCCACAATACTTATAATGCTATATGGCCTTTGATGTCTAGCACATCTATTTGTTTTAACCTTTAACCACTTTTGGAATTCACAAAAAATTCCTTACCTGGGGCTTTGCCCCCATGTCCCATCCAATCGCTATATTTTGTATTTGCCGCTAATGGCCTTATGTGTTGACGGGGTAGAATTTTTTCAATAGATAAAATAAATAATGCCATGAATCCAAAGGTGTTTATTCCTAAATAATTCTAATTTAGTTATCAGTGATTCGTGGAGCAAAAGCACACCCACTCCCGACCCCTACTAAAATACGGGGGCATTTCAATGGATATATGATTTTAATGATGTGAACTTTGTCGCTTCATTATTTTATAGAAATCACGCATGATAAGTGATGAAATGAATACAAAGTTGGGTCAATGTATCGAAAGAATACAGCGTAGGAATACAACATAATATATACTATAAAAGCAGAAGCATTTTCATAAACTTAAGAGTTAACTTGCATCAAAAACATCAGAGATGGGGACAACTCCGACTTCTAAATTATTATACACTGAACAAAATACAACAGATTCTGCGTGTTTATTTCTCTCTCTCTCCCCCCCCAATCCCTTGCCCGTTGTTGTCGTGGGGGGGCTTAGGAGGCGGAGACTGGGACCCAATGATGGGGAACTCCCCAACCTTGGGACTCAGCCCTCGACTCAACTAATTATGCATGGTCTTTTTTTTTCCCTTCCCACTTTTGTTTCTGTCCCTTCACCAAACCCTTCTGCTATCCACCTCCTAAGGTGTGAGAGCCGTGCTGAAAGGATGAAAGGCTGACTTTGTGCCAGTCCTGAACGGCCTGAGGGAGCCATGGGCACGGTATTCCCCTGATTTAGTTATCTAGCCCTTACCCCTCAAGGGGACCCTGAGGGGTGGACTGTTTTTATCCCCAACATAATCCAGGCTTCCCATGGCCAGTAATGAAAATATATCTCCACTGTTAGGGGCAATGAGGCTTGCCCCTTTATCAAATAGCCCCAACGAAGTAAACCCACCTGATTCCCCGACCCCAGGCTCTCCTTTGACCACGGCTCCGAACACTGCAATAACTACCCCTACACCAATGCCTACTAGTACAGTAGCCAATAATCAACCCTCAAGGAACATTTCCACTCTCCCAGCATGCCCAACTTCAACACCTCTACCCCCACAACCTCCAACATCAACCACCCCATCCTCCCTTATTAATACCTTACAGCCTTATAGCCCACCTCTCCATAACACTACCTCCATCAACACTACTCCATCTTCGTCACGCCCTCGCCCTTCTACCACCCCTATCTCTAAAACAATCTTGAATACTCTCTTCAGTGCAGCCAAATGGGACCGATTTTTCGTGATCCCTCCCACAGCTCCCTACTCTGACAACACCCTTCTCTTCCAACAATGCTTCCAAAAACAAGTAGGTAAAGTCTCTTTCCGTAGCCGACCCGACCGCTCCCGTCTTGTAACAGTAACATCCGAAAACCAAGCCATAGCACTAACAAAACTAACTGACCAATATGGTAACCCCATCCTAGCAGAACCCCATCCAACCCTCAATACTTGCACCGGAACAGTCTCAATCTCACCAGCAAGCAGCCCGTACCTCTGCTTTCCCACACCTATCCTCCCTTCACCGACCTCCCAACCTATCAGACATCCTTACAGAATCCCACACTTTCTGCATCAACAACCTGTTCTCTTTCCTCAAACGCATACATATCCTTTATCTAATCTAACACCCGACCTTAACCCTTTAACTCACCAATTCCTTTGCCCAGCCTAGACAACTAATCACTAACTCAACCACCTTTCACTAACATTAACTATAGTGCTACATGACCTTAGATGTCTAGCACATTTATCTTGCTTTTAACCATTAACCATTCTCTCTCTCTCATATTCCATCTATCTTTCGACGTGCGCCCAATAACATCGACACTGGTGGATTCCTCTCACCCTTTACTACACGTATATTCGACGATAACATGTATACGTCGACGACATATACCTGTAGTATTGTAATGCAATACAAGACCTGGCAATATAACAGAAAATAATCATTACTAGAAAAACAATAATGTAACCTCCGAATTTGCTCTAGGAATATCCACTCCAACGACCAAACCCAAAACAAACAAAATAAAAGCTTCATTATCATACAATGGCCTTTTAATTACCCCCCCCCTCCTCCATCCATTGCTCGTTGTCGCGGGGGGGGGGGGGGGATCGGAGATGGAGACAATGCAAGGATCACCCCTATCTTGGATCTCGGACCTCGGCCCTCGCCTCAACTAATTTTGCTCCTAATTGTTAACTCATGTTTACCCTTTTCGCCACAATACTATAGTTTTATATGCCTTTAATGTCTAGCATATTTATTTGATTTAACCATCAATTAACTCCCTCAGTTTATCGCGGAAATGGGTACTGTAGATAGCTTTAAGAAGTCACATGAATGTATATTTCCCTTGTGAATACTGAGAGTTTGATTTATCTTCATTTGCGCATATTTATATACACGAGGTATAAATACTCTTTTGTATCATTAACTTGACTGCTGTGCGTTTACTCATAACGCGAAAGATATATAATTCGGTTCATAGCATATTGCTGTCAATTAAATGTTTGTCTGATGAATAACAACGCGAAATATATATAATTCGGTTTATAGCATATTGCTGTCAATTAAATGTTTGTCTGGTGAATAACAATCTGCAACAAATGTAGATGCCCGAATTATAAAATATTCATTGATCTTGTATGCACATTTAAATGGAAGACAACGGCTCGGAAAAATCCGAACGGTATTAAAAAGTCACATTTCACACACACACACACACACACACACACACACACACACATATATATGTGTATACACACACACACACACACACATATATATATGTGTGTGTATGTATATATATATATATATATATATATATATATATATATATATATATATATATATATACATATATATACATACACATACATATATGTGTGTGTAAGTTGGCTCGCACGGACACACACATATACGTGTATGTGTGTGTATATATATATATATATATATATATATATATATATATATATATATATATATATATATGCATATATACACATATATGTGCACACACACACCACACGGGCACACATACATATATGTAAATATATATCATCATCATCATTTGGGAGCTAACCCGGAGGGGTGCATCAATCCTTCGCTTCCACCTACGAGGGTCCCTCAAAGTCAGCCGCCAGGCAGGGGCTTGGCTCATCTCTAGCTCCTCACGACAGGTTTGGTCGATCCTCGGTCGTCCCACAGGCCTCCTCCACCCAGGGTTGTCTCGAACAGAGACAACCTGGTGGACAGGGTCATCCTGCGGGAGTCGAGCCAAGTGACCGTATAGCCTGAGTTGGCGATCACGGATTGTGCAAGTAACAAGCCCTGTACCGGTCTCACGGTGCAACTGTTGGTTGGACACATGGTCTCGCCAACTGTACCCCATGATCCGGCGCAAGGATCTGTTGCAAAAGGCATCAAGACGCGATTCCAAAGCACAAGATAGCGTCCAGGTTTCGCTACCATATAGTAAAACTGGCAGTATCAGGGCTTTGAAGATACGTAGCTTGGTCCTTCTGCACAGGTACCGGTATCTCCAAATACTCTTGTCGAGAGATTTTATGACCCCTGCTGCCAGGCCAATCCGTCTATTGACTTCCTGGTGTGACAGGCCGGAGTCATGAACTGCACTACCGAGGTATATAAAGCTCTCTCTGACCTCGATATTTTCACCACAAGCACGTACCGATTGCATAGAGTCTCCTAGTAGGCCCCCCAAATCCTGGATCTTGGTCTTGGTCCAGGAGACCTTAAGCCCCAGGGGCTTCGATTCATTGCTAAATGCATCAAGAGCCGCCACTACGGCTTCAAGAGATTCAGATAGAAGAGCAACATTATCAGCAAAGTCAATGTCTGTAACCTTGATATTACCCAGAGTTGCTCCACAGTGACTTTGGACAGTAGCTCTACCCAGTATCCAGTCCATGCAAGTGTTGAAAAGTGTTGGTGCAAGAACACAGTCTTGCCTCACTCCTGAACTAACAGGGAAGAAGCTCGACAGGCCCCCACCATACTTTACAACACTTTCAATGCCTGTATACAGGTTTGCTATTAATCCAATAATCATTGTTGGAATTCCTCTTAGTCTCAGGATCTCCCAGAGTGATTCGCGATGCACGGTATCAAACGCCTTCTTGAGGTCAATGTAAGCTGCGAGCAGCCCACGTCCGAACTCACGATGGCGCTCTACAATGACTCGAAGCGCAAGGATACGGTCTATTGTGGACTTACCAGGAGTGAATCCAGATTGCCCCGGCCTCTGGTGCCTCAGCAGGTGGTCTCTGATACGTCTCAGTAGGACGTGCGCGAGTACCTTGCCTGGTACACTGAGCAGTGTAATGCCTCGGTGATTGCTGCAGTGCCATCGATCCCCTTTCCCTTCCAGAGAGGGATGACCACACCCCTCAGCAGGTCAGGGGGAATGGTACCAGTCTGCCAGATGGCAGACAGGACAGCATGCAAGCCCCTTGCCATAGGTTCTCCACCAGCCTTTAACAGTTCAGCTGGGATGCCGCAAACACCTGTTGCTTTACCGCTCTTCAGCTTGGAAATCGCCCCCCTGACTTTAGTCAGTGAGGGTGGGTCTGGCAGAGGAATCTAACTTTTAGTGGATCAACCTGGCACAACGACTTAAAATACTCAGCCCAACGCACCCACACCCCATCAGGATCTGAGATTATCTGGCCACTGCAGTCGACTGTGAGGAGGGCTTGGAGTTCAGCTTTCTCAGGGCTTGGTAGGCAGGACGAAGGTCATTTACTAGGAAATGGCTTTCGACCTCCTGATAAACTGTTCCTTATCCCATCTCAACAGTGACCTAGTCTTGCGCACCAGAGAACGGTGACACATATACGTACATACATACATACATACATATATATATATATATATATATATATATATATATATATATATATATATATATATATGTATATATATATATATATATATATATATATATATATATATATATATATATATACACATGTATATTTATATATATTTCTCTATATATGTTTATGAATATATATATATATATATATATATATATATATATATATATATATATATATATGTACATACAAATATATATATACATATATATATATATATATATATATATATATATATATATATATATATATGTACATACAAATATATATATATATATATATATATATATATATATATATATATATATATATATATATATATATATATATATATATATATGTACATACAAATATATATATATATATATATATATATATATATATATATATATATATATATATAAATATGTATATGTACATACATACATATATATATATATATATATATATATATATATATATATATATATATATATATATATATATATATATATATACACATTATATATATATATATATATATATATATATATATATATATATATATATATATATATATATATATACACACACATATATATATATATTATATTATATTATATATATATATATATATATATATATATATATATATATATATATATATATATATATATATATATATATTTATATATACACACATTTTCGAAGTAATAAATGTAGAAAAAATATGAATAAGAATAAATAACACGGCGTTTAAATATTCTACCTATCGAGAGAGAGAGAGAGAGAGAAGAGAAGAGAAGAGAAGAGAAGAGAAGAGAGAGAATATTCTTTCTTCTTTATAGGCGCTATTCATAACAAAGTCGATTTTTTTATAGACTGTTAATGATTTGATATTATTAGTCTATGTGAATGTAGTAACTGAGCTTGCTATGGCTATTACATAGATTTTGCAGTGTACGAATTTCGAAATATTCAAAATGCCATTTAATAGTATTCATCTTACATAGTGTATTCGTAGAATGCACTACTCTATTGGGTTTCCGATTTTTAAATAAAATTCCCAATATTTTCCAAAGGTTTGCAATAAATTCCCAACATAAATAAACATGGAAATTCTTGGCGAATGGAAAACGTCTCTTCCAGACCGTTTTATTTGGACGACGCTAAAGCCACCAAGCGGACAGGTGAACAATTAACCTGTAAAGGCCCGTTACTGAAAAAATATACGTGTAAATATCCATAATTCCATATTTCTTCCTATTCTATACCTATGAAATAAATCGTAGGACCTTTTTATAAACCCTATAGTCATTCTTATTTCACTCTTTTCCTATAAAATACGATTTTTAACTCGAGGTAAGTTTAGCCTTTTTCGGAACGGCCCTGAGGAGAGGAAGCACCTGAGCCACGCCTTGGGAGAGTCCTCATTATTTTCCTCGTTTTCATCGCTGTCCTCGTTATTTTCCTCATTTTCTTCGCTGTTATGACCTTTTTTTGGTGGCTGTGTGTGAATTGAAAAGGTCGTAATTATTGGTATTGATTCTACAGACACCAGGTAAGAGAGATGTACTTCCGTTGCAGATTAGTTTGTTAAATTATGAAGATACAGCACTTGGTGAACCCTTTCTTTTTGATATTATGAGGTAGTTTATTCATTATATTACAATTAAAGACTCATTGTATCTAGCGAAAGGTGGACTAGGATAACATGGGTTTAGGAAGTTTTTTAAAGTTTCGAATTTCGTTTTCTAAATCCTTAGGAACAATTATATCAGCATTATATATATACATTAACTAATTAACAGTGTTAACTAATATGAGCTTAGTGTGAGATTTAAAGAATGCGCAAATGTTTTTTATTATTTTTTTTAATGTCTTTTAAGGGTATGATTGGGGTGTGTTGGTGTGTTGGGGGGGGGGAGGTATATGAAGTGTATTTTATGTCATTATTATATTTTATTTCAAACTTACCCTCATTTAGCATACAGATCCCATTTAAAAAAGATTAAAACTGTCTGTAACACCTTGAAATTTCCCCTTTAGTTTTTGTGACTGAGACCAGGGCAGCATTGAAGTCACAGTCACAATGGCTGCCATATTTGTGGTTTTAAAATCAATTTCTTTTAACCAAGGATATGTTTCCTCTGATTTAGGAATATCTGAAAAGTTTTGAATGATATGATTCATGGATTTTTAGCTGAACGATTCAGGAGAGTTGATTATTATCCCCTAATGTGGGGTAAGGCTTGTAGTGTCTGACTCATATTTCAGGATAAAATTCAGTGGTTGTTGAAGTTCTTTGTTTCATTCATCATTGTTGTCATCATCATCATAATCATCATTATTTTCATCATCATCATCATCATTATTGTCATCATCATCGTCGTTGTCGTCATCGTCATCGTCATCGTCATCGTCATCGTCATCGTCATCGTCATCGTCATCGTCATCATCATCATCATCATCATCATCATCATCATCATCATCACTTATATTATTATTACTATCATTATGATAATGTTTATTATAATAATGGTAATGGTGATAATGTTAATGACATTGATAATGATTATGATAATGAGAATGGTGATAGTTATGGTAATGGCAATTGGTAATGATAGATGTAGCTATATTTATGATTATAAGTATAATTATTATTATTGTTACTGTTTATGGTAATGACAAATGATAGTGTTATTGTTGTTGTTGTTAGTGTTAGTGTTATTGTTATAAGTAATAGTGCTAGTGAGATTAGTGGTAGTGGTAGTGGTTGTAGGAGTGGTAGTAGTAGTAATGGTAATAACTGGCTAGTAATACTACTATTATTAGTAGTAATGATTGATAATAATGATTATTACATTATTAGTATGCTATTATTTGTTTATCTACTCTTTTACAAAATTGTTTTAGAAATTCTATGATAAGATATTGTTTAATTCATCATTAGATGCTAGATAATATCAGTCTGATGTCAGATTGGAAAGGGTTAATTTTTGTGGTCTAGACACACAAAGCTAGGGCAAATTGAAGATGATATTCTTATAGAGGACAAAAAGTTGCAGTCATTGATATAAGAAGGGTAATGCCACAAATAAAGGAAAAAGATCGTGGAAAACACCACTTACAGACTAAGTCCACTTAGTGCTCTTGAGTTTCACCTGTATCTTGTTGTGCATACTCAGGTGAAGGCAGTGTTTCCCAGGGGGGGTGTTGAGGGGTAGAGCCCCCCTATCAACCCTCTCCTCGGGGGTGTGCCCAGTCACAGCAACTTCGATGATTTGATTAATTTTGTGACATGGAGTCGGGTTCCTAGTCTCTGGTGAGTGTATCTGTACCGTAAAGAATTACACTGGAAAGTAAGGCACTTTTTGGCATGATCTCTTGTGTGCCAAGTAAAATGGATATGTTAGTGTGAATTACAAAAAAATTGAGTCATAAAGAACAGTATTTGGTATAAGGAATTAAGTACAGAAGGTAAAGGCAGGGCCACATTTGCTTATCAAAATGTAATAGCAAGGCTGAGTCCAGCAATGCCAATGGTCTCTACTGTGTACCCCAGCAATGGCAGACCAATTTCCATCATGTATATTTTGATAAGTTAAAAGCTTTCTGGCTTTCCTAGCAATTTATCATCAAATAAGGAAACACTCCCAGCTCTATCTTGCCTATTATATATACGAAAGGTTTACCTCCCTTTGCCAAAATGCAAGGTGTAGAAGCCACAATGTTTTTTTTCATTTGGACCTATGCTGAATAATTACCAGATATACATAATTTTCAATTTGACATACACTGATGTTAAATTAATTGCATTATAGTAACATACATTTATGTAATATCCTGCTTTTGTATGCCAAAAAGAAATCATAGTTTCACATTCTGCTTCTCCCTTCCTCCTGTGACCAGTTTACAGAATATAACATGTATTGATTAGTTATCTGTTGTGCAAGAGATAAATTTGTGGTATGCAGTTATGCACCAGTTTTAGTAGGAAAATATCTCTGGGTATTATTAATGAAAGCTGTACATATATTCTAGTCACTAAAGTTTTAGTATTCATAATCATCAAATTGCCTTTTCTTTACCACTACATATGTCTTGGTCACTGTAACTTGTAAATGAACTAATAATAAAGCTATATTTCAGTACAATTAGCTTAATAATGAAGACTAATAAAAAGAAAAAAACTAATCTAAGGCTGTAACACATGACTTATTGCAGTTTTAAATTATATTCTAGGAAATGGCAAATGCCTAATACTATATAATGTCCTGTACTAATACTATCTAATGTCCTGTAAAAAGAAGAATACCAAATTTTGAATGGTCTCGGGGAAATTCACAATGTGCAATACATTATTCCTCTGATTGGGCTCAAGATTTTCATTAAGTACAGATAGTCCCCTACTTAAGAACATTCTACTTACGCACATTCCGTACATACAAACTTTTTTTTTTTAAATACTTAAGTCCAAAAAATTCTTTGAAAGATGCTAGCAAACTTCAAATTTCTCGGGCGCGAATATAGTTCACAAGTCTGCCACGCCGTGGCACTGCCACGCTCACTCAGCTGTGTGCATCACTCGCCTGCCCTCCCGCCATAAATACACAAAAGCATCTCTTCACTGTGTCCTCATGTACTGCCAATTTTTGTGCCATAATTCGCTTTACCTGTGCATCAATCCATCAAAAATGTCAGTTGTGAAGTGCCAAGAAACGTCAGGCTATAACTTCATCGATCTTATGATCGGTTCCCAGCCAGTCACCACTACAATATATTTCCTTTTTAAATAAATTATGTTTCTACATTAAAATTGTATGAATCAACATCAAATAATATTAAAAGCATTACATATTACAGGTACTGTATAAGGTATTTCGTACTTATTAGGATTTATTTACAGGTATTCTTAATGTAAACAAAACTTTAAAACAATGGGAAAAAAGGCAATGGAGACCCGACTTTTGACATACAGTCAAATCAACTTCCAAACAGCCTCTTGGTCCCCATTATGTCCATAAGTTAGGGACTTACTGTATAGTTTATTTACATTGCCAATTTGTATCTTTATAATTCTTTTATGGTTTCATCTATTTTACCTCATCATTTTAATAATGAAGATGGTATTTCTATATGGCAGTGATATAAACACACACAACCTTCAACTGTTTGCCATGTCTTTAAACATTCAGCTCACGTGCAATTGTGCAACATCCTGTACAACAGCATGACAGGACAAAGGCCATCCTGGGTACCAATGAGTCCGGAGACAGTATATGTACGAATAGTCTGTACTCACTGGCTGTTCATGTGCCCTGTGATTTCCCTTCCTTTTAGAACTTACTGAAATTGAGATATAGTGTAAGCAAAGATCAATGTGTGAAAATGTGATTCATAGTGTGTTGTATATCCACAGCACAGGTGATGTAGTACTTCAGTGTTATATTGCCTAAGGGACTATTTAAATTCACTTTGTAGTATGTGGATGTTGAAGCACTCTAAAGGGAATCATGAGATTAACTTTTGTTATATCATAACATAATCATGTTCTTTTTGTTGCTTTCTAAACTTATTTAAAGGTAGTATTGTATCTGAATCATGCTTAGTACTCATACTTGTGTAAAATTCAGAGAATAGTTGTACAGAGCTTATTGTAAGAATTATATATCTATATCTATATCTATATCTATATCTATATCTATATATATATATATATATATATATATATATATATATATATATATATATATATATATATATATATATATATATATATATATATATATATATATATATAATTTATGTATTGTAAGTATATATATGTATGTATATTTGTATATGATTTCAAGTTTGCATATACTTGTTGTACAAGGTAAGCAGTTATTACAATTGATGAATTCTAAGACTGTTTCTTCTACCCGTGATGTAGTTGACTAAAAATAGAAACAAAGTTTTTAGATTTTTTTTTTTCATAAAATGTATAAAGAAAATTAAAATCATGAGTTTTCATCATGACCATGACAGTTTCATATATGGTCTGTGAACCTATTGATTTACCATCTGTTAAGGAGCCAAACAAAACTCCTTTCAGAATATATGTGGTGAAGATTTATTGGGATTTGTCAGATGTTCTATGTGTACAATCCACGGTAATGGTTTTACTGCATGTCACTGTCTTTCTTTGTTTTATAGCTTTTATTTTCAGTTTGCAAGAATTGCTTTGTAGATGAAAAATGTCCTAGAATTCATCATCTCTTTCCATGTTCTCTTTACCTTGCAGTATAAGTATGGCCAAAATGAAATTTTATGTATATTATATATATATGTTTGTATATATAACAAATAAGTCTGTTGTCAATAATGTGATTTATTTCATATCATAAATTTGGTTAACTGTAGTTGAAGTTAATTTATGACTTTTACTCTTACCTTACATATTACCTATCATCAGAATTATTAAAAAGATAATTTAGAAGACAATTAAACTGAGAAACATTTTAGTTTTGACATTGCTATATGAATTAAGTCAACAGCATTAGTTTGCATTTTCCTTTTGCATAAAAAAAACTTACTGAGTTGTTGAATCAGAGAAAATTTCATTTTTCATGAGTCTTCTTTATGAATTTAATCCCATTTCTATAAATCCTGATATGGTGATGAGTGATGATTCACAGTAGCATAGAATATTGTTTAAAATTTTATTTTCTTAACTTTCTATGAATGGGTAGTATTATTAACTTTCTTAATATTGCACTCTCATTGTTTTTACCAGTTTCAGCTAACCTGATTTATACATCAGCATTTTGCTTTCTTATATAAATTTTTAGAAACCTGTTGCCATAGACATGCATGAGTATTTGTAGCACTGTTAACAGCTGATTGCGAGCACACGAGGCTGTGAGCCAGTCGGCAGGTACAGTATCTTAGGACGAAACACCTCCACGCAGGCAACATGACAGAACACTTCTTGGACGTGGAGCATACTGCTGGTCCATCATCCCACAGACTGTTGTAATTAAGAATCTTTATTTTGACAGTTGGGTTCAAGCACATAATAACAAGTACACACTGGTTTGCATGCTCCTTTAAATCTTTGGGAACAAGTATCTTGGTTGGCCTTTTTATCTTTTCATTAATATTTCTCCCATTATGTTTACTTATATACTTTTTATCTGTTATACTTTGACTATAGTTCTATGTATAAAGCTTAACTTTAATATCACTGATGATTAAGCAGTCTGAGGTCAGACAACCTGACAGATATTTATTCAGGTGTATGCTAGTAATGAAAGAAGTTCTCACATATGATAATTTGTTTTTATACAAACAAATTTCTTTGTTTTATTGGTTTCTTTATATAATAAAGTCTTCATATTGAACTATACAAATTAGATTCATTAATATCATCATCTTTAGTAGAGCATAAATTTTCTTAGCTGCCATTTTTAAGAATTACTCTGGAAAAAAAAATCACATGATCCAAGCTGCAGCTTTTATGAAAGTAGTGTTTTGATGGCACCGAGTTAAGTTGTTGTAGAAAGCACATGTACAGTACAAATGTTGAATGATAATATATTTTGATGAATATTTGATTTATTGGTAGTGTATTGCTTTTTCATCTTGCTCAATTAATTTCTTTTTCTTTCATGGGCAACATGCAGAAGCTAGCATGTTATAACCATAACAGTGGTACATATCCTGTTTCCCTTCAAAAGTCATTCTTTTCAAGAAAGCTGAAGGAAAATGGGTAGACTTGCTTTCAAACAGAAATAATTTTGCTAAAGGACTCTTGTTGCATTGGGTTTATGATACACTAAACAAGAACAACATTTAACTTGTACTGTAAGATACAGGTGAGGGGAATAAGGAGGAATTTTTGGCTAATATAGACAAATGTGACCAAAGTTTTTTTTTCATGGAAGTTATATTGTTGAATTTTTATTATTACAATTTTTGTGTGTGTGTTTGTATATGTGTAGGAATATGAATACATAGGAATACAGACAAATGCATGTTGGCTCATAGTTTACATATAAATTTTGAAAAGTAAACAAGCATACATATGTATATATTCATTATCATTGACAATTAACATTATTCATTTGTTTATTCAAACAGTCATGATTTTCATGCATATATGTTAATGTATGAAAGACAGAAATGCAATTAGATATTATTTATTTGATATAAAGCAGTATGTACAACTTTGAATAAGGGCTGGGGACTTGCAACTAACAGGTGTGAAGCCATTCGTATGGGGGGATATTTGGCTTTCCTATTAGTTTAGAAAGTAAGGAAAGTTGTCAGTTGGAAGTAGGTGCAAGAACTGTTATATATTTGCTTGCTGTATATATCTAGCACAGTTGAATTTGAATTAGTAGAGACAGTTGCTTGCTCAAAAACTTGGTTTAGCTTTTATATTGTTCTTCAAACTTAGAATAGGCTATTATTGTATGTTTTTATTGTATTACAGTATTATATATAAATAATCTTTGCATATTTTTTTTTGCTAAGAAGAAGAAGAAAAAAGATTAAAATTCTGTTTGAAGAGATTATATTTAGAGGACCAGTGCTTAAAAGTGTTCTGTACAAAAATGACTTGTTCCAGTTAAACTTATAGTAGTGATTTTACTTGTGTGTATATATATATAGGCATTTTCAGTTTTTAGCTGATACAAATATTTTTTCTGCTCCCAAAATATGATTTATGTGAAACAGGCTATTAAGAAAGTTATTTTTTCTAGGATGCCTCACTCGTCAATAGCTGGGAGTGTCTCGGGCCTGTCGGTCACCTCTCGGACATCGAGGGTCTCTCATGCCACGACAATCCGTTCCGTGGCAACACTAACTGACACTCTGAAGACAAAGACCGGCTTGTCCATCCCCATTCTGCCCGATGCCATTTTCACCAACGTACAGCGTGGTTCCGTCCTAGCGGCAACTTATTCTATTGTAAGTGCCGTAAAAGATTTGTTCTTGTGTGTGAGGTTTGTAGTGTCATTGAGGGAAGGCTGTTTAGTAATAATGGGTACCGAGGTTGATGAAGCTTATCTGATCTTAACTGTAGTATTTTATCAGAAATACTTTCAATGAGTGGAACTTGAAAAGTCTTATGATCTTACCATTCATTTTTAAGGTAGATGTCTTAATGCTCGAGGGTTATACTTTAAAACAGAAATATCATTTTGCTTCTCATTTAGGGGAAATATTTCATGTTTATGAGTCATATGTTATTTGTAAATGTAATATCACAATTCATTTTTACAGGCATCTTACATTACTATTTTTCTTTCATTCTCCAGATTCAAGGGCTATTTGCAATTGTTACCGGATGCTTTGATATCTATTCTTTGTCACTTGCTGCCCCAGGTTCCAGCCATTATGGATTCTACTTGTTTTCTTACGATTTTGTATATTCTGGAAATCCACATGGTAAGTAGAAGCATTGTGGCAATATAGTAACTGGTGGGATATTTTGTTTGTATTTTTTTTTTTTTGTTAATGAAATAAATATTAAAAGGTAATTTAATGCAGTAATATATAGAGATTTCAGTTTTGTTTTTTGATTATCTCTTAAATGTACTTCTGAATGGAAAATATTCTTATGTGGTTGTTCAGAATTTAGAGTAAATTTCTAAAAGTAGTTGTAACTAAATAGCTTACAGAAGAAAGTTGTTCATTACTGTATTATTTATTATTGGAATTACAATCTAATATTATAATTTTGAGGCTTTGTATTTCTACATTGATTTCCTTTTATGGAGAAGTTGATGCAATTATTTGTGTTTGTAATTATTATTACCGCTGTCATTGATACAAGTATTACTAGTTAATTGTTATTCTCCTTCAGTCCGTAATTCCCTGATGCTGTTTGGAGGCATTACAGCCATTGGAGGAGTCTGCCTGATTGTTTCCAGTGTTGCACTTCTACAAGGCTTGAGAAAGGTTAACAGTATATAGTTTGCAAGGCTTGGTTTTTAAGTCGTCTGTTGTAGCTTTCATCCTTACATAGCCATAAAAAGATTTTGTAAATGTTTGTGGCTGATAGCTGTTTCTTTTTATATATACACAGTATGCTTGTACTGGTGCCTTACTTCTGTTTTAATTTTTGTTATTTATTGATATTTTATGTAACTGATAGAATAATGGTAATGGCATTGAAAGCTGTTCCTCTCATATAGTTATAGATATTGATTTTATATTGAATCCCATTTTTCAAACAAGGAAACATTTGACCTCTGCAGGAGATTGAATTCCGCATGGAGCCCTGGATTTGGTGTATGGCCCTCTTCACTGCCTGGCGTATTCTGATCACCATTTATTCATCAATCGTCAATGACATGGTGTTTGCCTATCACGTAGTGATGTGTCTGCTCTGGCTTCTGTTCATCGGAGGCAACATATTTGCATGGTTGGTGGTTCACTCCTTCTACCATGAGCTGTGTGAGGTTACAAGGCTTGAAGATGTTGCCAGGGTGAAGGTAAGTTGCATTTTTGCAAGGATGAAACTCCCATCATTGTCCTTTTCCTTCTGTGCAACTTTTTTTTTCATTCTTTTTATATCAGTGTTTGAAGAATGAAGTGAAAGTAAATAAGAGTACAAAGAAAAATCTATTTTGCTTTTCTTAATTAGGCTATGATAGGATTTGGTTTTTAGACCTTTGTAAAGGTAATTCTCACTAAATTCATATAACCAGCAATTTGGTGTTTGTTTTATTTACTTCCACTTTGTAATTAATCACCATGGAAGAAAGATATTGCCCTTTTCTTCATGATACTTTGTTTCTTTCCTTCTGCATCCACCATTCTACTGCTTACATAAGTTTCTAAGTTAGTCATTGTAAAGATTGCAATAAACAATATTATACATAGATAAGCCAAGTAGAAAAATGGTTGAGGTTCAGAATAGGCAGTATTTTTTATATATATAAATAATCATTATTATTATTATTATTTTTTTAGAAATACTAGTTGACGTGAGTTTCTCATAATTTTACTTATTTCCTGATGTTAAGCATTCATGAAATCTATATTCTGGATACGGTAGTTTCTTGGTTACAAGCGGCATCTTGTACCCCATGAAAAATATCTCAATAAATATTTGGGGTGCCTTAATTGATCTTAAAATTGATTAACCCAAATCCGACGGGCAAGGCATGTACATACATGCCATGCCTACTGTGAGTTTACTTTGTTGTTTTTATACATAGATGGCTACACTTGTACTAGGTCACCAGTGAGCCAATTACGAGTACTGCCTGTCTCGCCTGTCTACCCTTTTCCTTGATTTTTGAGAATATTTTTACATTATCTTATATTGCTGTTATTAACATCTATAGCATTATAGTAATTATAATGTCTATAATAGAAATGACATCATCAATATTCATAGCATTTTTTAAAAACTAAAGTAAATAGAATAAAAAAAATAAAAAAATCCCCCACCATTTCAAGGAAAGGTTAAATCAGGGCCATCTATGTGCAGAAACACTTCACAAAAAATTCTAAAGGCAGCATTGAATGCTTTCATTTTCAAATTTTTGGATGTTTGAGTTAAAGAACCACAACATTTTTTTCCCACCTGGCCTTATGTATAAAGCATGTTACCCTTATAATGAGTATTAAAGATATATGACAATTCTTAAATAATACTTTATGACTTATTTCATCTGAGATTAGTCCTCACAAAATAGAATTTAAATATGTCCTTTTATGTTATTGCTGCTTAGACTATCATGTTTTTTTTTTTTTTTTTTTTTTTTTTTTCTCCAAATTAGAAATAGATCATTTATTTATTTAAATTTATGTAGCTCTGTTCAAACACTTTGTCTGTCTTCATAGATAGATCATATTTAACTTGATAGTACTTGGATAGTCTATCTACATAACTGTTAACTGTTATTAGATATATAGTTTCTCATGATTAGTCACTTACATGTTGCTTTACTGATATTATTTCTTTTAAAATAAAGACCCCCCCTTTTTTTTTTTGCTCGCACCTGCCACTTAGCTTTTTATGTCTGTCTCTATCCTTTACTCTTTTACTCTGTCAGTCAGTCAGTCACTTATCACCTCTTATCTCACTCCCTTTGCACCCTGTTGCAGATGGACACAATGAGCACGATGGGCTTCAGTTCCCGTCCCACCACTCCTGGCGCACGTTCCACCATTTCCACGCAGTTAGACTATAGAGTGTAGAGTGTAGTGTTTAGGCTAAGGAGAAAATGTGAAATGATGTGTAAATGATGCAGAGAACTGTTCGTGTAGCTTAAATTGAGGAAGGGAAATTACCCATGGGAAATTTTTATTTTATTTATTCATTCAATAATGATGATATTTTTATATATATTTTTTTACACATGCTATGAAGTATTCATTGCAGATCAAAATTTGCAGATTTTTAGCTAAGTAATAGTTTAGGAAATTAGATTATTTTGTTAGATATTTTTTAATGAGCACATTCCATGTTTTCTTTGCAATAGGAGGTAGATTAAAATAGTGTATATGTAAAAAAAATAGTAGTAGTCATGTTATTTTCATTATAACATTTCCAGTAATCGATATTATATCTGGTCAAGTGATTCTGTGAGATCCACCTTAAGATTTATTTTTATTATTTTTTTCTCATGCTGGTTCAAAAGTAAGTCCTTTTATGGAACATATGATCTGCACGAGTTTGTCATCAGTATCTTTATTTTTTACTTATTATTATTATTTTTTTAACTGAATTTATTTATTCTATATAAATATTGTCAACAAAAGTTATAATCCTCATGAACTTTCAGATGGAGACAATGAGCTCATTTACTGCCTCACGACCCACCACACCAGGGGCAAGGTCTGAAGTGTCATCCAAGATGGTTGCATAAATTCCATGATACATGAGCAGTTGAGCTTTTAGTGTTTTATAATTATTTCAAAGTTACACTGGGATATGATGCATTTTATGGTTATGCCTTGTGTAGAAGGCTAAAGGATAATATTATTCAATCTTGTAGGATTGTGATGCAGATTTTTCCTTTTTTTTATATGTATTCAGTGATTTGGATTTTATTAAAATCTAAATGATTCTTCTGTAGTACTAGCTATTTTACTTACATGTTCTTGTGGATTTGTATTTGTAAAGTAACTGACTGTGCATGGGCCTGCACAAAATACTTAAGGGAAATATGAAGCCAGGTAATTTATACCTTGTTCAGTTGCAATATACGTGTCTTTTAACCTTTTTGATATATATGTATATATATATTTTTTATATATATAAAAATTCTGAATTTTTTGTATATGCCAAAGTGAACATGTAACAGCTAGTGATCCAAACCCAATATAATTATGTAAGCAGTTGCATTCATAACTTTCTTAAGGTTTACCAAAGATAAAACTTCATGGATATATTATTGGGAATCTCATATCTGTAGTAAAAAGAAATTACACATATATAAATACAAGATGAAGGTTTACCTCTATTGCTGACTACTATGGTTTTCCTTGCTGTGTATATCAGCTGCCAGGTTAGTGCTCTCAACATACTGTTACTGATGAGTGTATAGATGAAAATTATATGAAGTCTACACATGTAAACATGGATATTTAAGGCTGCTAAAGGTATACCTGTGTGTGTGATTGGAAATGTTTGGTTTCTTGAAAATTCATTTTTATGTATGTGTACTGCATTTACAGATATCATTATCTAAATCGGTAATGTATGTTTTAGATAAATAGTATGGAATAACCTCAGTTACAATTTGCTTTTTTTTTAAAGAATGAATTAGATTTATATATTTATTATTATTATTATTATTATTATTATTATTTTATTTATTTTTTTTTATTTATTTTTATAAGGTCTCGAGTGAGTGTAAATGAGCAGTGCATTCACTGTACATAGCTGAGTTCCCTGCTTTACCCACAAAAGACACAGACTTGGCTATGGCTGCAATAAGCACGAAGGCTGTAATGGATGACCAAACCCCCTATTACAGGTCTTTATAGAGTTAGTAGCATCAGTAACAGTGGTAACTTTCTTGTGGCCTGAGGTGGGTGTGAATGAAGACTGTCTCTGTAGAAGGTCCATGTGTTACCACTGAGATGGTTATTACTTTGTTTAAAGTATTTTATTCAGTACTCTTCTTTGTTATGGTTAAATAGTTTGTATCAAAAATGTTTATGATCAATGAGCTGTATTTTTTTTTGTTTTAAATGTAGCATTTACCTGATATCGGTAAAAAGCACAAAGGAAATGTGTATATTTGGTAGCAAAAGTTTCATGTTATTTTTCATATATTTGCTAACATACCTTTCATACATAGGAATATGAACAGTACATATTAACTACAAAACTAAGTTTGCATCTCATAATAAATTGCTGTAATTTCCAGTAAGTAATAATTCCACCTCTTTATGAAATTTAGTGTTTTTAATTTCATTCTCTGTGAAGAAGAAAATAGTAAAGGCAATTTGGTTTCTGAGTTAGCTAAATTTATTATGACTATATGGCCTGTATTTTTCATTTTTTAATGTGGTCATGGATACTTTTGCATAAAAAGGTTGAATTGAAAAACACTTGGAACTATTAAGGAATTTACTTGTTTGATAATATATAGATATGGTCAAGCATTTATATTTGTAAGAGAAAACAAACTTATGATCTGTACCTCTTGAAAACTGATCCGTCCAATTGATCAATGGAATAAACAAAACACTGAAATATATTTTTGTATATATGTGTAATAAATATTTGAAAGTGTTATGTATTAAAACATTTTCTTAACCTTTTTACATGACCTTAGATGTCTAGCACATTTATCTTGCTTTTAACCATTAACCATTAACATTCATAACCTTTTTAGATAGAAAATATCTACTGTTACTATTATGTTTACTGTTAAATGTTTATCTTTTTGTTGGTAATTTTTTATTCTGGATTTCAATTTCACATTCTCCATCTTAGACTTACTATGTAAACAAAATTATCATACTGGTTATAGCTAAACAGTCTGTTGAAGTTTTTAGGGGTGTTAACCTTTATAAAGTTTGAAAAAAAAAAAAAAATCATACAAAGATAGCACAGCTAGTTTTGTCAGTAAAATGCTCTTTTGAATGGTATGTTTTAGTCTATACACACTGATCATCTATATTACTGACTGATGAGTGAGAATAACAAGTTAATGGTTAAAAAGCAAATGAATGTGTTAGACTTTATATATATATATATATATATATATATATATATATATATATATATATATATATATATATATATATATATATATATAGAGCACTAAAGGAAAGTATAGAAGCAAAAAGGGTAAAGAGGGGGGGTTAATGAGTTAATGATTAGGTGTGCTACACATCAAAAGTCCTGTAGTATTTTAGGTTAGTATTATTTTAAAAAGGAAGAGGAGTGTGGGCAAACAAGGTGAGTAAATTGCAGATTTGGGTCATGATTAGAAAGAATTGAATGTCCTGAAGAGTTTCTAAATGGGAGTTGGTTGAGGAGGTCTGAGAAACAATGTCTTCATATGATGGGGAGAAGAGGAGATATGTCAAAGGGATAGAGGAAGAGGTAGGAGAGGATGTGGTAGAAGATACGGTGGAATCTAAAAATCTAATGCGACAGATAGAGTGAGGAGGAAGAGGAGGGGTAGGTACCAGCTAAGTCCAGCTAGAGAATGGATGGTGGATTTAGAATGGGAGGGAGGGGATAGAAGTTGGAACATAAAGAGGAGGAAGATATACTAGGAGAGATGTAGAAACATCGTGGGAGGGAGGGGAAGGGGGAGGGCAGCAAAGGACAACACTGAGTAAGAGAAAAATCTTGCCTGGGCTCACATAAAGTGAAGCCGAGTTTGAATCTGAGGATTGCTACCTCAGACACAAACTTGTAGTTAGGGCATCCCCTATAAAATATATTGTAGGAACCACCACAATTAGCATGTGTGTAATTGTGCAGAGTAATTTGAATGATCATGACCAGGTTGGGAACATAGATGGCAGCCGGATGTGGAGTGACTGCTTAGCCAACATTTCTGACATTGATGGGAGAGAGGTTGATACAGTTGGACTAGGCAGGACTTTCCTCCAAAATAAACCTCATGGGGAAAGTCATGTCTACAGAGTAAATCTTGACGGTATTAGTGGAGACTTACGGTAGCCTCTAGGGGGTATGATGTTGCTTTGTACTGATACTGCTTCATAGTCAATGAGGCTGGTGAGCAAGTCATTTCTACAGCCTGACCAATCCTTGTAGATAGGGCAGTCTGTCAGTTCCAGTACAAGTACTGAGGGAAGGATGAAGCTGGGAAGGAATAGATTTGCCAGTGGAGGCAGTAAGGGTAAATAATGCATGAGCTTAGGTCTCTGATATAACTGTGACAAGGTGAGAATGACTGAAACAGTTGCAGAAGGAAACATTGCCTACTTGTTTTTGGAGACTATTGGAAGAAGTGTTATCAGAGTAAAGGGCTGTAGAGGGGATCACAAAAAATTGACTCCACATAGATGGTTTAACCCAATGCTGATGGGCATGACATGTACGAATGTGCTAAGCCCACTGTGAGTTACTTGTTTGACTGTTTTTACACATAGATGGCTACACTTGTACTAAGTCAATAATGAGCCAATTATGAGTACTGCCTATCTCGCTTGTTTACACTTTTCTTTGATTTACAAAAATATACGTTATCTTATTTTGCTGTTACTAATGTTTATTACATTATAGTAATTATAAAGTATATAATAAAAATAACACCAAATTCATAGCACTAGTAAAAAATACATTTTTCACACCAATTCAAATCAGGTAGGTCACAAGGTCTACTAATTGACTCCTTTGTGGCTAAGGACTAGCAGAGCAATCTATGTGCAGAGACATTTCACAAAAATTAAAAAAAAATGATCACTGCATTTCCCCCATTTTTTAATTCATTTTCCCTGGCAGCATTGGGTTAAAAGAATACTCAAAAGGTTTATGGAAGTGGAAGTAATAGAAGAACAAGGATGGGAGGAAGAGGGACTGGGGATGAGTAAGGTAGCACCGAGGAGAGGTGGACACTAAGAATGAGAGTATTAATTAGCAGGAGGGGATAATAAATGAAGAAAACTATAGGGGAAGAGGAGATGGAGTTGGGGGAGAGGAAGGAATGTTTCCTGAAGGTTGGGTAATGACCTGGGTGGGTGACTTGGAATGGACTGAGCTGACAGTAGGTATTGAGATGGGACTAATAGTAGCTCTCTCTCTCTTTTTTTGTCAAATGAGAGCCTGGGGTAAGGGAACCAGAGAGAGAGAGAGAGAGAGAGAGAGAGAGAGAGAGAGAGAGAGAGAGAGAGAGAGAGAGAGAGAGAGAGAGAGAGAGAGAGAGAGAGAGAGAGAGAGAGAGAGAGAGAGAGAGAGAGAGAGAGAGAGAGAGAGAGAGAGAGAGAGAGAGAGAGAGAGAGAGAGAGAGAGAGAGAGAGAGAGAGAGAGAGAGAGAGAGAGAGAGAGAGAGAGAGAGAGAGAGAGAGAGAGAGAGAGAGAGAGAGAGAGAGAGAGAGAGAGAGAGAGAGAGAGAGAGAGAGAGAGAGAGAGAGAGAGAGAGAGAGAGAGAGAGAGAGAGAGAGAGAGAGAGAGAGAGAGAGAGAGAGAGAGAGAGAGAGAGAGAGAGAGAGAGAGAGAGAGAGAGAGAGAGAGAGAGAGAGAGAGAGAGAGAGAGAGAGAGAGAGAGAGAGAGAGAGAGAGAGAGAGAGAGAGAGAGAGAGAGAGAGAGAGAGAGAGAGAGAGAGAGAGAGAGAGAGAGAGAGAGAGAGAGAGAGAGAGAGAGAGAGAGAGAGAGAGAGAGAGAGAGAGAGAGAGAGAGAGAGAGAGAGAGAGAGAGAGAGAGAGAGAGAGAGAGAGAGAGAGAGAGAGAGAGAGAGAGAGAGAGAGAGAGAGAGAGAGAGAGAGAGAGAGAGAGAGAGAGAGAGAGAGAGAGAGAGAGAGAGAGAGAGAGAGAGAGAGAGAGAGAGAGAGAGAGAGAGAGAGAGAGAGAGAGAGAGAGAGAGAGAGAGAGAGAGAGAGAGAGAGAGAGAGAGAGAGAGAGAGAGAGAGAGAGAGAGAGAGAGAGAGAGAGAGAGAGAGAGAGAGAGAGAGAGAGAGAGAGAGAGAGAGAGAGAGAGAGAGAGAGAGAGAGAGAGAGAGAGAGAGAGAGAGAGAGAGAGAGAGAGAGAGAGAGAGAGAGAGAGAGAGAGAGAGAGAGAGAGAGAGAGAGAGAGAGAGAGAGAGAGAGAGAGAGAGAGAGAGAGAGAGAGAGAGAGAGAGAGAGAGAGAGAGAGAGAGAGAGAGAGAGAGAGAGAGAGAGAGAGAGAGAGAGAGAGAGAGAGAGAGAGAGAGAGAGAGAGAGAGAGAGAGAGAGAGAGAGAGAGAGAGAGAGAGAGAGAGAGAGAGAGAGAGAGAGAGAGAGAGAGAGAGAGAGAGAGAGAGAGAGAGAGAGAGAGAGAGAGAGAGAGAGAGAGAGAGAGAGAGAGAGAGAGAGAGAGAGAGAGAGAGAGAGAGAGAGAGAGAGAGAGAGAGAGAGAGAGAGAGAGAGAGAGAGAGAGAGAGAGAGAGAGAGAGAGAGAGAGAGAGAGAGAGAGAGAGAGAGAGAGAGAGAGAGAGAGAGAGAGAGAGAGAGAGAGAGAGAGAGAGAGAGAGAGAGAGAGAGAGAGAGAGAGAGAGAGAGAGAGAGAGAGAGAGAGAGAGAGAGAGAGAGAGAGAGAGAGAGAGAGAGAGAGAGAGAGAGAGAGAGAGAGAGAGAGAGAGAGAGAGAGAGAGAGAGAGAGAGAGAGAGAGAGAGAGAGAGAGAGAGAGAGAGAGAGAGAGAGAGAGAGAGAGAGAGAGAGAGAGAGAGAGAGAGAGAGAGAGAGAGAGAGAGAGAGAGAGAGAGAGAGAGAGAGAGAGAGAGAGAGAGAGAGAGAGAGAGAGAGAGAGAGAGAGAGAGAGAGAGAGAGAGAGAGAGAGAGAGAGAGAGAGAGAGAGAGAGAGAGAGAGAGAGAGAGAGAGAGAGAGAGAGAGAGAGAGAGAGAGAGAGAGAGAGAGAGAGAGAGAGAGAGAGAGAGAGAGAGAGAGAGAGAGAGAGAGAGAGAGAGAGAGAGAGAGAGAGAGAGAGAGAGAGAGAGAGAGAGAGAGAGAGAGAAATGACGCTCCTCCTGCACAGGAACTGTACGTGTAGATTACGTAAAATCCAGTGCTTGGCGACCCATACTTTGCCAGTATCAAAAATATGTAAAAAATATGTAATTTAGTTTCTGTATATATTTTGTTCTGCTAATACTAACCCTTGTAGCTTACGAGGCATGTGGCTCTCAATCTGAATATGCCCTGAACTTTTGGCTCTCTTGAAAAAAATAGTGAATAACACTGAGGTAAAGGTTGTTAGAAGGGGAAGGATTTAAGGAGTAGGACAACTGGATCAAATGGAAGATATTTATGCATCTAAGGAATAAGAATAAGTTATCTAAGGAAATGGTTAGGATTCCGAAAGGCTGTCCAATAGATTTTGGGTTGGGGAAGTGAGAATAAGTGAGGAACAACAGAGGTACAGGTTGCTCTAAAGTGGGGATGGGATAATAGGATATGTGCAACTGAATGAGGAACATTGCATGAAGAGCACAGAGGTGGATCAGATTGTTACAAGAGATAGGAATGTTTGAGGCGAGTGTGCCCAATGTGTAAGAGGGTAAAAGCAGTTTCCCAGTTCCATTTTTATAGAATGGTATTGAACCAAGTGGAGATGGAAGGTGTATCTGCCTGTTCAT